TAAATTAGAAAAGACAGTATTAAGAACTCAAGTTCTGCAACCTTAAAGTCTTAGTCCAAACTCAGACTCTACTTACCAATACCCTATGAAATGCTACATAACCTCACCGTGGCTCAGTTTTCTCATCTTTAAAGTAGGAATAAGTAACTATCTCATAAGTTTACCATGGGAATGAAAGGAATTAACATAAGGAAAATGGTTAGAACTATACATGTCATTGTGCTACGTGAGTTAATATATGACTTTCTATAACAACTACATAGCAAAATATTTTCCTTGCATAGATTCTATAGCTGATATGGTAACTATGATTATTACCATTAAATCCTGTATATAAAACATAACACATAAACAAGACTCTGAAGTTAATGTCTGCTCCTGAAATATAAATGACCATTTTTCTTCTCAAGGGAGATATTCCCTCATGATCACTTTCTCTTCTTGTGCTGATGATATTAGGGGGAATCACATAGGGGTAACAAGTGGTATGAATTAATGAACTGGCTTGGAAAATATTTACTGGGTGGCTATTATGGCTGGCATAGTGCAAGGCACCTGAAAAAGAGTAGTGATTAAGGAAGAGTCCCTGCCTTCCAGAATTTACAACAAATTATTAACTTTATAATTCATGGTACAAAGGAAAAATTGAGCATAAAAAGAAAAAGTACAAATAACTTAGAAAAGAACAATGAAAATAGGCAGATACCAGGTCAGGTAGGGTTTAACAAACCACTGTGAAGGTATTAAGATATTTAAATTGCAACGGGAAAGTTTTAAACAGTGACATCATCAGAATTGCACAGTAGTTTGGGATGTGCACACCTGCGCAATTTATGTTTGTGAAAAGCTAAGCAGGGGAGACCTTGGCTGACATCTCACACTGCCTCCCGATGTAATTCTTAAAGTATACTGAAATTCACATCTCCACCCACACATCTTTTAGGTCAGTGCTCACCCTTCCCTGAACTTGAAAATAAAAGATTTTCCCTGATATATTAAGCTAGAAAGGCTTCAGACCCTACAACCAGATCCAAAGGGAGGCGTAGGAAGGGAGGCAAAGTGAGTCTTCATATGTAAAAAAAGGGAGGGTTCATTAGAACCAAGTGGGCTTCAGTGATTGCTTCATATCCCTAGTAACAGGTTAGTTTCTCTCTGAAATGATATGAAGCACTCCAGAGAGCAAAGCTATTGATATAGATATTTGGGATGTTACAACTAAAAATATAGCTCAGTCCATTTCTATCCACTTCAGGTTTCAAATCCATGTTATAGTTCTCTTAAGAGGAGAGCCCAGAATTAGCACAGCCCCAGAGAAAATCCACCAATATAAAGAAAAACAACTAAACAGCAACGAAAACATTACTAGAGAAAAAGAAACAGGACATAAGTGGGAGGGAGAGTTAAAAATACATAATTAACATGGTCAGAAAAATAAACGACTGTGTATCCATGAAATTAGATACAAAGCAGTCAATAAAACAAAAACTATGCAGAAATCTTAGGGGTAAGAGAGTGAAAATTGTGGTATTTTAATAGAAGGCTCAGAAGACAAAGTCAAGGAAATCACTCAAAATTAGAATCTAAGAATTAGGGATAATGGAGATGGAGAATAGGACAGAAATGAAAATTTAAGATTCCATCCTGGTGGCCAAAAATCTAACATAAGGAAGCTCCAGGAAAGGACTTCACAGAAAATTGGAAGGCAGAGCACTTTAAAAGAAATAAATCCATAGAATTTTTCAAACTCAAAGGAGTAACAGATTGAAATGTGCACTGAGGGTAAATCAAGAAAATGATATGCACAGGGAAAAAGAGAAGACCCCACTCCTTTCAGAGATGTGGACCAAACTGTATTAAAAGGATCTGGAGTTGGAAATGTGCTGGGCTTCTCAGCAGTGACTGCCATCTATGTATACCACAGGCATCCTCATTGCCAGGTGGAGGGACTGGCAAAGACACTTCTGAATTAAAGCATACATAAGCAGGCCCAAGTATCTACAGGTGGTTAGTTAGACTGCTATGAGTCTGGCCTGCCTATAGAAAATAATAAAGAAAAGTCAGACATTTTAAGTAAATTAAATTTAATAGTTGTCTCTGAGCTTCATTCAGACTGAGCTGAGCTGCTCTGAGATTTCCTCATTTTCTCACCTCTTAGTTCTGGTCCTGGAGTCTCTGTTGGTCCACTTTCTGTCACTGTGACAAAATACCTGAGGAAATCAACTTACAAGAGGAAAGATTCATTTTGGCTCATAATTTCAGAGGTTTCTGTCCTTGATCACCTGGGTCTTGTGCTTCTGGCTCAACGGGGAGGCAGATATCACGGCAGAGAGCCTGTGCTGGAACAAAGTGGCTCAGGTCATGAACAAAAAAGGAGGGGGGATGACAAGATCCACCCTTCCAGGGCTGCCCCAGTGTCTGTCTTCATCCAGCGAGGCCCCAGCTGGTTTCCAGGACCTCACAATCCAATTACGTCCCCAGAGCCCCACCTCTGAGCAGTGCTGCACTGGAGACCAACTTTCAATAGATGGGCCTTTGGGGACATTTCAGATCCAAACAGTAAGAGTCAAAAGACTTTCCATGTGCAGTGTAAGGATTGATTTTCATGTCTTAACTTAAAACTCTTTTTTCTTAAGGCTCGGAGAAAGGCAAGGACAGGGGAACAAGTAGAATTTGGAAAATGCTTGGGTAGATAAGGAAATCACATCTTGAATATTAAAAGTTGCCACTCAAGAGGGACGTTTAGTTCCCAGAGATTTTTCTTGGGCACTTCACCCCCAAACCACTTCCTCCTCTGCTTACTGCAGAGGTTATTCAAGAGAAAACAGAGATGGTTCCAACCAGCATGTTCTGACTAACAATGCCTCCTGCGGTGCTCCGTACAATAAGTGGTGCAAGGTACACAGCAGCCTGTCCTGCTCCTCCCTCTTTTCACTAGTTGAGCAATTCCTCCAGCACATGTGTGTGGAAGGACTGTAAATGCAACCTGCATTGCTTACCTTTTACGTTCTTTGTAGCTGACATAGAACAAAACCAAACCAAACCAAACCACAATTTTAAAGAGCAGAAATTGAAATTCATATCTTTCAGTCATGGCGAAGAAATGACCTTGAATGTAATTTCTGCTTTTTCCAAAACTATTGATGAGCTCTTAATAAGTGACAAGTAAAAATGTTTTGATTCACCTATTAATGAGCTGAGAGGTGGTCCAAGGAACAAAGAGAAAAAATCAAAACCTCATGATATTCATTTTGGTTGAGAGAAAAATGCTATCAGACAAAAGAGTTAAGAAAAACAAATATCCAAGTGAAATTAATCCTGTTTGTTGTAGAAACACAGTGGGGAGAGTAACAACAGGCCAAGAGCAGCATAAACAACCGGAAAGTTACTTTCAGAATTCGTTCACTTAATACTTAGCACTGAAATGACACATAAGAGGGCCATTAGAGAGACCTTCTGCACTACTGCACTTAAGCAATTAGAGTGTGGAAGTAGCATAAAGATGAATTACTCATTGGTCCTCCCACACAGCAGTTTGTTCACACAGTAAATGCGAAAGCAGAGCGCTGCATGGCAGGTTATCTTTTACCAGCGGGCTGACTAGGTGGTAGGAAAAGGCGGGGAGGTGCGATCCAAATGGGCCTCATTAAAGTGTGCCACTTTGAGCGAACAGCACATGTTCAGTATTTTTAAATCGACAGTGAAATTATTTCTTATCTAAAAACAATCAAACCAATGTGTGCAAAAACAAAAATCAAATGAATCCTGCAGATTTCTGTTTGTCTAGATTCATGGTAAAAATAGACCTAGTTAAACCAACTGTCTTATGAATCAGGTCAAAATGATTCACCTAATGAATACTTACCTACCTAATATTTACAGTAAGCTTTACCCTGGGGTCTCTAAGAAAGAAACGATGTACCCTGGATCACCTAACAGTTTAAAATAAGACTATTTATTCTAGTAATATAGGTACACTAACCACTTCAGGATATCCCACTTCAAGAATAAAGAATCCCTCATCTACTGAGGGTTAAATCAATCCTCGGTTTATGATATGGGATCAAACTGTGTGGAAATTATTTTAAAACTATGTGCATGCATAACTGTGACTTTGTGGCATGTATTTACTAATTCTGTTCAGTATTTAAGTCTCTAGCCTAAGAGGGCACCAAGTTATGCATTCTAAATTGTCAATTACACATTAATCAACAGAATCCTGAGAATTAGTACAAAGGACATGTTTCATTTTGCGATCTACCTAAACGGGGTTAAAAAGTTCAAAAGCAATGCATTCAAATGTGCCTATTTATAGTATTCATGTGTGAGGAAAATCTGAGCTAGGTAAACAGGAAAAGCACCTTCGGTGAATTTCACTACTAGTACTAGTCCTCTCTGGTAAAAACATTCTCTGTCCCTAAACCATTACTGTCAGAAATCATTTAAAAAATATTGTACAGAAATGTGTTTTTGTTTTTATAGACCTATGGTTTATTTATTGTTTTTCTTTTTAATGTAACGTTTTCATTTTTTCTAGAATGACTTTTCTAGAAGAGCAGAGCCGGTGAAAGCACGGAGAAATGAAAAGTTGGACAGAAAGAGGGGCTGAGGCTCAGAAAAGTACAGGAGACCAACAGGATCCTCCGCGCCCCAGCCCAGCCCAGCCCAGCCCAGCCCCACCGGCCGTGCGCGGGGCCGCGCGCTCGCCCCCGTCGCCGTCGCTGGGGCGCTCGGGCTGGGATCGAGGCGCCGCCGCCCCGCACCCAGACGCGCGGGGCCGAGGCGGGACGCGGGCGGGCAGGGCCCTCGCGTGTATCCTCCCCGCCCCTGGCGCCTCAGCCCGCGGCTCAGGCTGCCCGGGCTCTCGGCGGAACGGAGCTGCTCGGCGGGAGAGTGGGCACGAAGCTCCCGCCCCCCGCTCCCACTCCCGCCGTGGGGCCGGCGCCGGGCGCCTAAAGGTGCGGCTCCGGAGCGCGCCGCGCAGAGCCCGCGGGCGGGCAATGGCTTAGGGCGAGAGGCCCCGCTCGAGGTAACCCGGAGGGCCCGGGACGGCGGACGGGGAGGAAGCGCGGGGCCGCAGAGCAGAGCCGACCATGAGTTTCCACCAGGAGGACGGGGTGAGCAGCCTGTGCCAGAAGGCGCTGCACATCGTCACCGAGCTGTGCTTCGCGGGCCAGGTGGCGGGGGAGAAGTGCTCGGGCATCTATCCGCCGGAGCGCGGCAGCCAGGCCGGGGGCAGCACAGGTAACCGCCCGCGCCCCAGGCGCCCGCCTTCCTCCCTGAAGTCCCTTCCCGCGCGCTGAGGCGACTCGGAGGCCGGGTCGGCCGGTGTCCTCTCGGCGCCCTCCCGCCGCGTCCCTCTCGCCGGCGCCCGCGCTCCCCACCCTCTGCGCGCCTGGACTGACCGGCTGCTCGCGGGGCCCTGCCGGCGGGACCCGGACTGGGGAGAGTCCGGCTCGGACGCGGAGGAGCCCGGGGGAACCGGGCCAGCCCGGCGCTCGGGAGAGGCGCTTGTCCCGAGGGCTAACTTTGGGCTGCAACCTGTCAGCGCCGGGAGCTTTCCGAGCCTTTTAATACGCATGTGATTTTCGGGCGCTTCACCACAGCGATGGCAAACAGTAGGGGTTATCGATCTCATTCTGAGGAACACCTAAGGTTCAGGACTCAAATCCAGGAAGTGGAAGATAGGGAAAAGGTGATCAAGCCTTCACACCCGGGCTCTCGGCGTCCTCCGGCCCGTCTGGAAACCAGGAGGAAGAGGAGGAGGGAGGGAAGGACCGGGCGCAGACCGCCGCAAACCTGGGGATGGGGACACGCTCGAGGGACACAGTTCTCTCCAGGGTTAGGGGCACGGGGCTAATCACGGCCACCATTTTGGTCCCGGTGGGGGGTTTGAGCCACTCGTGTCACGTGCGTTTGTCCAGCCTGAAGTGCTGTGCACAGGGGCGACAGGGACGCGGGCGTAGACCCTGAGGACGGGCGCCTGTGAAGGTCACTTGTTGCACTGCAAACACTGGTTTCCAGGTTTAGGGTATCCGGCCAGTACGATGCCTTGCCTTCTGCAGGCTGTGGATTCTTCCCCTCAGCTTTCGGGGTTGCTTTGGTCCTGACGGGCTTGCGGAGTTGAGGGTAGCCAGGGCAACAGGTAGGAGCCGGGCTGCGGCGCTCAGGCGCTTTAGGACCCTACAGAGCCTAGCGGTGGGCGCACACTTAGTGAATCCCCCACCGACCGCTCCCGAGGGAAGACAGGGAAAGGGAGAGAGGTGGGATGGAACTTGATGTGGTTTAGCCGTCACCTGCCCTTGTTTGCAGGAATATCTGCAGGGTTCTGAATTCTCTGACGGGGGCCACAGGAGCCCGGCGGAGCTTCCCCGTACATTTGGCAGAGCCTGAGCCGCTGCTGAGACCTGCCGCAGAGTGGCCCAGACTGTCATTGCTGCGGTCCACACGTTGGAATCTTACTTGGGGAATGTATAAACTCAGCTGAGAGTCGTTTCTGTTTGTTCAGGAGGTGTTAAATTCCCTCGAAAAGACGAAAATGAAAATTGTAAGGAGCCGAGTGAGCACCCTGTGCCTGTGTGCCAGGTGCATTGGTGCAGCACAGGAGGGAAGGCCAGAGCAGTGCCATCTTAGCGGCTGGTGATATATGATACACTGCCCCGAAGTGTCTTAAATTAAACCCAGAGCAAAGGGTGCGGGAAGACATGAGAGTGTGTAACTTTGTAGAAGGACCTGTGCGTTGGTCCTTTTAACAGTTGATGCAATGGATATCTTAATTCCTCTCCTGCTCTGTTGTGATTACACACCAGTGTTTTCCTGAGTCTCATGGGCTGGTAAAGCAAAAAACGTGTGAAGGTTGGAGACCAAATACAGTATGGTACTAGCTTCTAAATCTCCCAAAAATGTACAACTATGCAAGTTTAAGGTAAAACAGAGTATGAACTGTAGAAAGCATTCTGAACTTTTCTTGAGCACTAACAGTGCTCAAGAACTTAATGTACTAATTCCTTTTAGATTTTTACTTGGGGACAAAGTGAAAAATTAATCTAAAACATTTGCATGAACACTTTATCCTCTTAAGGGGACATGCATTCTGTTCAAGTGGGACATTTGATAAAACCCATGGACATGTATTTTACATGGCTATCTGGAGAGATGTTCTCCTCAATTATGTTGTGAGATACAAAGATATATTACATTTTTAATTTGCAAATTTTTACAACAGAAGTAAACTACTTGAATCTGCAAGTAGACTTCCAATATGAACAGACATCTATGAAGTAGTTTCAAAGTTTATATACTAAATGTTTAATTATTATTAGCCACCCAGCTTCACACTGTGCTTTAAAGTAAATTTTCTTCTAACTTGTGTGCTTGTGCCCTTTGTTGTAGGTCCCTAAGTAAAAGCACTTCCAGTAGCTGATCCTGATCCTTCTGTTCATTATTTAATGAGAAATGCATTAAGAAGGCATCAGTGACATTATATAGAGTGGTTACTTACTTTGAGAGTAATCAGCCCTGCACAGACGGGATTGGTGATTCTAACATTGTAGTGACAGTTATAAGCATCAAACTTGTATCCCTTCAGATAGAAATAGAAGAAAAGTGATTCAAGTAATACCAATTAAAAAGTCACTCTACATTGAAGGAGCTAAGAATCACATATATACATTGTTTTCTACTGTATTTTAAATATCAATAAAGAACAAGCGTCACCTTCTCCTTGACCATAGGACTGTTAAGAGTAACAGCAAGAGCAGCAGCAGTGTTATTGCACTGAGAGTCCCCAACCAAGTGAACCAGCTTCACATTTTAGTAAAATTTGTGAAGACTTAGCAACTTCCAACACTAATTACTCTTTTGGAATAGTATATTTATAGTCGCCTCCACTAAACTATTATACCTGTGTAACTAGTATACTTGTATAACCGTATATATGAACATTACAGGTATACCACAAAGTTCATCGTGCAATTTTTAGAAAATTATATTTTGGTAACTTTTTTTACCCTCTCTTTTTCTCTTTTTACCACTGATTCTCCCCTTCTACCAAAGTAGATATATCAACCATTCAAATTCATTTTATTGCACAATACAGTATAATAGAACGCTTGGGAAAAGGGCAAAGCAATATACTGGTTTCAAATGTTACTGTCCACGTGCACTGTAACTAAAATATACAGAACCATTTTTGAACTGGATTTGGGTTCATTTCTGGTCAGTCTTTCATTGCTGCTTGAATTCTTCTCAGGTTCAAGGAACCCACATTGCTTGAAAGACAGTCCTCTGCACAAAACCACTGCTAATCAAGTTAAACCCTCACATGTCCAAAGTCACCCTCGCATCCCAGGTGTGGGGGGCCTAACCGTAGTGTGAATATTTTAATGAGCATTTAATTCATCGTGTTGTAACTTTGCATTTTTATACAGTTTTAATCTGGGGCTAAAGATTTTAAAATAGAACTTTAGACAAATTCTAAGTACATCCATGTATTCTCTAATTTCTTAGCGGTAGGGATAATGAATAGATAAGTAGTGATGAGTTTCATTGAAGTGCTTCACTTTAAGAAAGATAACTACATTAAAATCTTGAAATTAGATCATACTTTTTCTGAGATGAAGGCCTATGATAAGGGCTTGAGATGAATAGACTTTATGTGTTTTCTCTACAGACACAAATAATGACTCAATGGAGTTACCATCTTTGTATGACCTTATCTCTGAGTTTTACACATCCTGAATGTCTAAATAATAACAATTTAGAAACATGTATCGGTGGAAACTTTCCTTTGAGACTAATGGACAGGAAAAAGAGTGATTGAGCCCTAATGAATTAAGAACTATGTGCACCTCTGAAGAAGGACAGATGAGAGGATCTTTCTCACTCCTCTCACTTTTTTCACTTCACGAAAAAAATGGCCAGTTTCTGCCATGTCTCATCTCGTTATCACTCTATCACATTATTTTTTGGGGGGGGGGTTAGTACCGGGGATCGAACTCGGGTCCTTGGGCTTGCGCAGCAGGCGGTGAAACCACTGAGCTAAATCCCCGGCCCTCTATCACATTACTAATCTAATCATCATTGTACTTTTGCTTTTATGAAAAAAATTGCTTGGATCGCAACTGCATTCTTTTATGATTTTTTAAAAATAAAAACTTGACAGGAGACAAACATTACCATTCATGTCTAAAAGAATTTCCAATGCCAATTAACATGGTCTGTATTTTGAAAGTACTATTAGGTTCTACTAATCTACTAATGATGTGTACTTAAGCTCTTTCAGGGCAGGAGTTTGCTTACTCTTTATATTTCGTGCCTAGAAAATCAATAAATATTTGTTAAACTAATGAATAAACCTCCTAGTTTGCAAAATAATGAGTTCTACTTAATTACAGTATCCCAAATACTTTGTAAAACTAAATTATATAACCAGTATCTTTGTGTCTCCACTGTGCAATACAATATCCTTTATAGACAAGCATACAAAATAGTTTATAATACTAGCAGATATTAGAGCATTTGAAGTGTTTAAAAACAGAATGTAATGAGCAACATACTGAGGAAAAAGCAAATGAACACAATATGGATGTCCGTTTATTTCATCAGAGTGTATTCAGATACATCTATGAGTCCATAGCTATGCATCTGTGTTGCATAGTAAATATTCTAAGTTTACTGAAGTTCTAGCAAAGCAAGAGTATCTGTTTATTACAGATGCTCTTTGACTTACAATGGCAGTGTGTCCTAGTAAACCCAACATAAATTGAAAATGAAAGTCTAAATTGCTTTTAATATGCTGAACCCACTGAACATCAAAGTGTATCCCAGCCTGCTTTAAATGTGCTTAGATTATTTGCTTCAGCATCACAAGAAAGGATCTTACCGCATATTTCAAGCTCAGGAAAAAAACCAAGTTCAAAATTCAAAGAATGAACCATGAAATTTTCATTTTGTATTTATGGACATAGGTCTTTTAAAATCATTTGTCACTTTCATGAAAACATACAAGGAAAACATGAACAATAAATAGATTAATTTAAAACAAATTGAGTCTGATTCTTCTTAGTGGATTTTTGACTTGGGATTAATAATGCCTTTGTCTTACTCATTATCAGACTTTATGCCGTCAAGGGTGTTGGCATTTCTTAAAAGAATTCACAAAAGGTAAAAACACCATTAATGCTGTGTTCTAAAACTTTCTGTGCAGTGACATGGAATGTTGGAAATGTTGCCAAATAGTCTGA